AAATATATATATATATATATATATATATATATATATATATATATATATATATATATATATATATATATATATATATATATATATATCCATAGCTATTTATGTACATACATTTAAATTACACTGCACATAGTAAGATTATATTATTCTTTTATCCTATATGATCCCCACCGAGTAATTAAATAGTCGATCTTAATTAACTACTTCCTCCCTTCCTTAAAACAGATCCTCTTTCATTTTTTTGTTTTCCCTAAAACAATTCTTTTTTTGGAAAAAAATAACTCATATATCTAAATTAAGTTATTGCAATATAATCCATTCAATTTGCATTGATATAATAAGTCATTTAAATAATTTGTCACTTTTTTTCTTCGATGATAAACATATAATTAGAAGGTCAAACTATGAAAATAAATCTCTTTCAAGTCAAAACAGGAACTATTTTAAGGAATGGATGGAGTACTAATTAAGAGGAATTTAGTTATATTTAACACATTCCAATTACAATGATTCATACTCTCTCCGTCATTACTTTGATTGCAAATTGAGAGTTTTGAGATAAAATCTTTCATCTTTTGAAATCATTTCATTTATTAATTGATTTATCAATAACAAATAAAAATTATATATTAGAAAAAATAACTATTATCCTTAATAGTACTAAAACATAGAGAAAAGTACCAAAATAGGACTTTCATGTTTTTCTCTAAAAATTATAATCTGTTTCAGTACGGAGAGAGTAATTAATAAGATATACAACTGATCTAACCAAATTTTAATTATAAAATATGACTCTGTAACCTTAAATTATTACGAAGTATAAAATAGAGAAAGTCTAAAATGTGATAAGTGCTACTAGTGTCATTTATTTACACCAGTTCATTTGCGGCACCTACGATGCTCCGATCATAAAAACGATGGGTGCTTTCCCTGGTAGCCCCCCCTAAACATCCACCTCAGCCTCACTTCTGACCTAACAAAACTGACACGGACCCGATAACCTAAACCAATAACCTTGAATCGAACCCGAATTGATTCAAAAACTGATGAATCGAAATAGAACCGAACATCCAAATATGATCCAAACCGAACCGAAACCTATCCGAATGTATTCATACCCGATTCAGATCCAAATTCGATTTAACCCAAACCGATTAAATTCGAACCTATTAAACCCAAAACCAATTAAACCCGGAACCGATTAGACCCGAAACCAATTACACCCGAAATTGATCAAATTCATTAATATTTCATTTATCAAATGATATGTTTCTAAAATACAAATTTAAATTATGGGTGCAAACCGTGCAACTACTTTCATGTACAAATCTTTTACTCCGTATTTTATAACTTAAGTTAAAGTGTTTTTGTATTTTATCATCTTCGAGCTTAAAGTTTGACCAACATCGTTTCTTCAATAATATTAGCAAAAATATTAAAAATAATACATTTAAAGTATTTTTTGATACCAACAATTTGGTAATAACTTTTACTGTATATATTTTAATTCATTATCTATTTATATATATAGTTATTCAAATATCTGACACACAAAGTGAAATTGATAGTTAAAAAAATAGAGGAAGTACGAAGTAGAATGTTATCTAAAAAAGTCGCGCCAAAAACTTTAGGAGGAAAACCTTTAGAATGTTAACAATTAGTCATTATGTAAGTGTTATTTTTTATGTACGTCCGTGTTAAATAATAAAATAACAACAAAGTATGTCATAAATTGACTAAATTTATTACGTGATATTATTAATTTATTATATTTAAAATATACCTGAACTAATATAAATCTAAACCGATATACAAATCCAAATCGATAAAAACCCGAACTGATATAAGCCTAAAAAGATACAAACCCGAACCGATATAAACCTGATCCAATATAAAGCCGAAGTGATACAAACTTGAATCGAAATCAAAACAAGAAGTCAAACCGAGAGGAAAAATATATTGACCAATTTTTTTAATTATTTTTTACTCCCTCCGTTCCCCTGTATTTGTCCACTTTCATTTCTGCACACCATCCAATGCACTTCTTTAATTCATTTTATCTTGTAATTTGTATATTAAAAAATTATACAAATTATATATTAATAATCTCTATGTTAACACAAATCAAACAAGATCACACATGACTATTTTTAGGCTTACACATTGAAAGAATTTGATGAGTCAAAGTGCTTAGATGAACAATTCCAAAAATCAAATGTGGACAAATATAGAGGGACGGATGGAGTAACAAATAAAGAAATGACATGTGGAAAAAAATAATTAAAAAGTAAGGAAATGATTAGAAAAGAGAAATCGGTGTAAATGTATAATATTAAAAAGTGGATGGTGTGGAAGAGAAATAGAGATGAATGACTAGTGATGTTACTGAACCGCAACAGTATTTCGACGACGTCGTTTAAAGTAGTGCGGACTAGCCCTACGCCCCTACCCGACTTTTACAGACGCCGCGTTAGGTTTCCTCTGGAAATCTCTCTTCAGTCTCTCTTCCAGCGAGCTTCATCGCCATCTCCCTTCGATCTGCCCCTCCCTCAAAATCCGCGAAGAAGACGACCATCGGAGGTAAATCTTCTCACTCACTTTCGTCTCTGATTCTCAACTTGTCATGCTCTCAGATCTATCTTCATCGCCAAACTAGGGTTCGCGATTTTCGATTGATTCTCTACATTCGTCGCCTATACTATGCTTCCTTTTCATATAGGTTCTGGAAAAAGCTATGAACTCCTAGAAACCCTACTTTTAACACCTAATGATTCAAAATTCCGATTTGATGTTGTTTTGATTTTGAAATTCATGAATAACATCGAATTTGCTGCCAGTTTTTACATTTGCTTTCGGTATTCAGTATTTTGTCAACACTTTCTTAGTATCTTTAATTGAAAAAGACTAGATTAGCTTGAAAAATTATTTAAGACGGATGAAAAAGAAATGGATTTGTTTTTGTATGATAGGACGCATAAAGTAATTAAAAACTGAATACCTAAACAATCAAGTATCATTAGTCTTATTCTGAACAATGGTTTATTGTACAAGGGCAATTTATACTATGTTTGGTTCAAGGAATTTGGAAGGAAAATAAAAGAAAATGATTTTTTCTCATTTTCCTCCCTAAAATTGAAGAAATGTGGGTTTCCCTTCTTTTAATACATTTTGCCTTCTTATTTTTCTTTTCGTTCCTCTTTTCCTTCTTTTCCTACCTAACCAAACAAGAAAATCAGTTTTCCACTTTTCTTTTCTCTTTCAAATTCCTTGAACTAAACATAGGGTTAGCGAGAAAAATGAAAGTAAAGTGATTATATAGTAATATTTGGTGTGTCATTATCATATCCCATAACATTATAGTATCAGTATAATCTACGGTATGGCATATCTTCTTTATTTCTATACTGCTCCCAATTTCTTGCAGCATCTACTTTTTTATAAAGTAACGGGCCATTTCAAGATTATTACTCCGTGTTTTAAAAATAAATATGCAGATGAGTTTTGAGGACCGGATACTCAAAGAAGCAAAAGCCGTCCATGACAACCTATTGAAGACGCAGAGTGGCCTTGTTACCTTGCGCAAGGGGTTGGCTGACGGGAACAAGTTAATGAAGAAGGCACTGACTTTATCCACTATTGGATTATCAAGTGAGTACGATAATTTAGTTTTTTTTCACAATAGTGTAAAAATTTGGAATGATGTACGCAACTGTCTTTTTTTGTAGTGTGTGCAGTGACGAGTGTGGCGTTTCTCTATTTTCACAGCGTTTCTCTCTCTCTCTATATGCATCACGTCAAAATGCATCAAAATTCTTTGAAAATACACTATCTGAAAATCTGAGCATAAGATGCAATCTGACCACACTCGTCACTACACACGCTACATAAAAAGACAGTTTTGTACTTCGTTCCAATTTTTTTACACTAATGTGAAAAAACTAAATTATCTTACTCACCTAATAATCAATAGTGGATAAAGTCAGGGTCTTCTTCATTAACTTGTTCCCTTCAGCCAATCCCTCGCGCAAGGTAACAAGGCTACTTTGCGTCTTCAATAGGTTGTCATGGACGGTCTTTCTTTCTTTGAGTATCCGGTCCTCAAAACTCATCTGCATATTTATTTTTAAAACCCAGAGTAATAATCTTGAAATGGCCCGTTACTTTATAAAAAAGTAGATGCTACAAGAAATTGGGAGCAATATAGAAATAAAGAAGAAGAATATGCCATACCGTAGATTATACTGATACTATAATGTTATGGGATATGATAATGACACACCAAATATTACTATATAATCACTTTTCTTTCATTTTTCTCGCTAACCCTATGTTTGGTTCAAGGAATTTGAAAGGGAAAATAAAAAAAAATGAAGTGGAAACCATTTTTCTTGTTTGGTTAGAGGGGAAAAGAAAGGAAAAGAAAATGAGGAGACAAAATGTACCAAGTGGAGGGAAAACCAAATTCCTTCCATTTTGGTGGGGAAAATGAGAGAAAACCATTTTCTTTTCCATCCAAATTCCTTGAACCAAACATGGTGTTAGTGTTTGGTTTCCGTTTTGGTTCACTCTTCAAGTCAAGGATTCATATGGGGGTTATTATCACACAAGCATTAGAATTGAAAGTGAATGTTGGTTTGTACTTGAAGGCTTCTGTGAGATAGGCCTAGTCATTTGGCCCAATACATCCATCACTAAAAATGTAAAAGAATCTTATGCAAGAGTTTTTCAACATGTGAACTTCTTTTATGGAGTTCATTTGTGTAAATCCCCACCACAAAAGATGACATGTATTTGGAGTTCATTTCAGAATCTATATCTCTAAATTGGAATATTTGTTCAAGTATTTCATAAAGCACATTTAAAGTACACACAATCCCAACACAAAGCTTCTTGTTCTACCATAACAGCAATCCACAGGAAAAGCTTCATGTTCATTAAAAGAAGATGAAAAAGCTTCAAATGATTCATTCATTCATATGACTACATGAAATTTTACTTGGCAGTATAAATTACGTGCGAAATTAATACTTTTATATTCCGATTGAACCGCATAGGTTTGCCCAATGCACTATTGATTCACTTGCTTCAATCACTATTTTGATTTCGAAAACTACAAATGTCGCACTTGTGTGTAAAACGGGCTTGTAGTGTCGTGTTCACTTTTTGTTCAGTTGTATGTGAGAAGGTAGATTGACCACGTTTGGTAATGCACATGAACACGTTTTGTAATGTAAATACATTTTAACTCTTATTTTGGGAATAAAAACATAAAAGTCCTATTTTGGTATATTTTCAATATTTTATTCCTACTTTAGTCTTTTTTTCTCATAGCTTTTCACGTGAATCTTTTCTGTTTTGCAAAAATTAAAAGCTCAAGCTTTTTATGGTGTTTATATACTAGTTGTTCTTTCGTGATCTTAAGATCTTAAATGTAAAATATGGATATTCAATTCTCACACTTATTATGGATTGACAAGTAAATCTTTCTTTTTTTGTAAACGGCCCAATTCTTCTATGACATATTAATTACAATAGTAATAATAATACTTCCTCCATTCCAAAGTATTTGTCTACATTTGACTTTTTTAGTCAAAATTAGTAAACTTTAACTCTAAATTAAACAAAAATGAAATTGGATATTGATACAAAAAATAATTTTGTTAGACTTATTGATGGAACCAAGCCTAGACCTGTGCAAATAAGGATCCGGGCCAGATCTAGGCCGAACTAGATACAAATTATTAGCATTGGGGCGGGTCTAGCCCGACTTGAATTTGATGGGCTAAACTCTTTATCCATACCTGCCCACCTTAGCGGGCCAAATTACCCACCGGGCCGCCCGGCCGGATAAAACACTAAGAAAACTTTTTTTGCACAAAAAATCCAAAAAAAACAATGAACACTTTTTTCAATGTTCAAAATAAAATCACTACTCACCAAATTTACATAGAAAGCATAACAGAGGTATTGTTGCATATTTAATAAACCCATCATACTAATTCATTAAAAGTATATTGTTTTTGTTTAAGAAAGGTGAGTGAATTGAACTATTATACATGAACTATAACAATTTTTTAAAATTATATTGGCTAGATAATTAATAATAAAGTGAATATTTTTGATGAATATGGGCGGGCCTATTGGCTCGGATGGGTTAAAAGTAACTTTCAGATCCACCCAAATACAATTCGAGCTCGGGTCGGCCCGCCCATGTGGGCATTAAAGGTTGTCCATATCTGCCCTTTTTAATCGGTGGGCTGGGCGGGCCAGACGGGCCAACCCTTTTGCACAGGTCAAACCAAGCCCATCGAGAGAATATCAGAAATTGGACCTTGCCCTAATTTAGGTTTCGTACATTTTTAGGAAGACCCGACCTAGAGAAAATGTACTGGGCCGACAAAGAGGAACGGTCCAGGAGGCAAGATAGGGAAAAGGGTAGGATTGGGGTCTACAGATGGGTTGAATCCCAGCCCATTAAGAGTGGGCCACGAAGAGGAAAGGAACCCTATAAAAGAATTAGGGTAAGCTGCCCTCTCAAAGGTGGACGGACAGTTATTCCTTGGACAGAGAGAGAGAGAGAGAATAATGGACGGACAGGCATACTTGTCCGTAAGTGGATGGCATTCAGCTAAGAAATATAAAAGAGGAATAAACTTAGACAGAAAGGATAACTTGTACTCCGGCAGTCCTTATATCTGAACATAATCCATTCTCTTGTCTCTAATAAGGTCCAAACAAGCAAATAGCAACTTGTTTTTTTTTCCTTCTTTTTTCTTTATGGAGTCTGGGCATTCTTCTTCTTCTTTTGTTCTGCACCAGCAACACTCTGGTCATTCTCCTTCTTCAATTTTGCAAATTCCCCTGCAAAATGAAAACAGCATATAGAAACGCACCAAAAAGCTGTCTGATTATGAACAACAGAATATTATAGACGAACTCCTACTATATGCGATAAAAGTTAGAAGCGGGAAATGGTTGGCTGCGAGAGGAAAAATAAACGAGGTTGCAGTTCAGTTCAACATCTCCAGAAGAACAGTTTCATCCCTATGGTCCATTGCAAAAAACCAGGTTCAACTTAGTTTACCTATCGATGTGTGTAGTAAAGTTTCTACTAACTCAGGTTGGAAAAGGGTCTCAACTTTCGATGTAAAGTCTATTGAACAGATTCCTTTAAGCAAAAGGACCACTGTGAGATCTTTAGCATGTGCAGCTGGTCTCCCAAAATCAACAATGCATAAAATCATCAAGAAAGGCATGATTAGAAGACATTCAAATGCGATTAAAAGCTGATGGCAACAAGATTCAAAGGCTAAAGTTTTGCTTGAGTCATATTAATGATCAGACATTGAACACAAATCCCACTTTCAAGAGTTTTCAGAATGTCATACACATAGACGAAAAATGGTTTTTCATGTCAAACACTTCACAGAAGTTTTACTTGGGTCTAGATGAAGAAGACCCACACAGAACTTGCAAGTCTAAGAGATTTATAGCCAAGGTGATGTTCCTAGCTGTAGTTTCTAGGCCAATAATAAATGAAGATGGTCATGATGTTTGGGATGGAAAGTTTGGTATTTTCCCGTTTATAGAGACTGTGGCAGCAAAGAGAAAAAGTAAGAACATGGAAGCCGGGACACTTGAAGTTAAACCAGTGTTAAGTGTAAACAGGGCAGTTTACAAAGACATGCTCATTCAAAAAGTCCTTCCTGCAATTAAACAGAAGTGGCCAGCACATTGCAACAAGCGTATTGAGATCCAACAAGACAACGCAAAACCGCATATTTCTGGGATGGATGAGAACTTCATACGAGCTGCTACAAGTCAAGGATTTCACATAACACTAGGTAACCAACCCCCGAACTCTTCCGACCTAAACATATTGGATTTGGGATTTTTTGCATCCATACAATCCCTAAGGAATCAATGTGCTCCGAAGACAGTGAGTGACTTAGTGGGAGATGTGGAGGAAAGTTTCAATGCACTATCACCCTCCACACTGAACAAGGTGTGGCTTAGCTGATCAATATGTCATGCAGGAGGTAGTGAGGGTCAGAGGAGGAAACAACTACAAGCTACCACACAATCATAAAGATATGCTAGCCATGCTTGGGCAGCTGCCACACTGTTTTCAACTTGAAGATGGAGTTTACGAGACGGCACTTGACACACTCAGGCAACCATTTCAGTAGTGCAGCATAATGTTTTGGGTTTTTGGGTTGTACATAGATGAACAGGTAGATTAAGTGCTATGTTTGGATTTGTGTTTTTTGGGATTTGTATCGCAAATGCACCATGAATGTTACACGAACATGTTACACTACTACAGTGTAATATAATCGGCCTTTTCATCATATCCATTTGAAACAAAGATGTTCCACATCCCACACACGATAGATGGTCTTTAGCGTACAGTAAACACTACCATTCGTACTCAACCCATTAAGCCGTTTAGACTCATAATTGATACCCATCAATCTTAAGTCCATCATGTGCAAACATAAAGTTTTAGCTGTTAAACAACTCTGCTAATGTGAATTCAATGAGAAGTAGAAGTTAAATCCTGATTGCTGATCACACAAGATGGGTGTGACTTGAGAAGTAACATGTTAAATAACTCTCATCTTTCTATTTAAAAAAAACCACTGGTTTGGCCCATTTTTTGATTGTCAATCATCATTTTCAGCACTTAATCCAGTTGTCACCAGTGTGACAACTTCATTAAATATTTATTCCGACAGTTAACGACTAAACAAACCCTCAATTGTTTTAGAATACAAATTGAATGTTACAGAATACCACCCAAACACTAATCAAACATATAATAGATCTAAAAAAGCCTCTTTCGAGAGTTTAATCTGAGAGCAGATTTTACCTTCAGCAGCACGATAAGATTGGGCTTGGGCAGCTTGAACAGCACGCCTTGAGTTACCTGCAAGATCAAAAACAGATTTTAAAAATGGCACTATTCAATCAAATTAGAACAATTTATCCCACAAAAAAAAATAAAAAATAAACCAGGGCTGTAATTATTAAAATTCCATTCACATGAAATCGGGGATTTAGGGTTCTATGAACTTGAACCCGATAGTTTTATCGTGAATATGAGATCTAATCATCAAATTCAGACGCTTTGACACCCAGAACCACCACACGCAGAACAAATCTGGATTCTATTCAATCAAACTCAACGACAGTGATTTGACGCAAATCTCAAGGGGAATGTAATGATATTACCTATTACTAAGATCACATTTAACACAGAGACGTTCGCCAGTAGAGCAGTAACCACCGCAGTCGCCATTGAAAGAGAGAAGACACGAGCTCGAGCCTTGATTCCTTGAAGAGAAAGAGATTCAGAGAGAGAGAGAGAGACGACGGGGGAGGGAGGGCTACGAGGAAGGTCAGCTTTTGTGGTTCCTTTCTAGACGCGGGTCTGGACACCCGGTCCACCCCCAAAAGCCCGCTAGAGCAGATTGGGCCTCATATTTTAGGTACGGGTCGGGATTAAACTTCATATTTTGTCGTTCCTAATTCCTGAATGAATACCAACAATAATCTTTTATCCTTTATATATAATATTTGGGAGTTAAACTTCCAGAATGTTGACATTTGACACGTCTACAAGGCATTTTTTAAACCAAATCACCATGACATGTCATGTGGTGCCATGTGGATGTGGTAGCACCCAAAAGTTTTTAATTTGGTTTGACCAGGCTTTAATTTCTTACTCTATTCACGCCATGTCCAGCAATCTTGACGGAAATTTTCCTTCTTCGTTCCCGACGATTCAGCTAATTTCCTTCTTCTTCTTCTTCTACGATGTCCAATGAGCTTCCTTCTTCATTCGTAATATTTCCAATCCTCGCCCTCAAATTCCCAAAATTTTCTTCTTCTTTTGCAGAGTCGTTTCCTTCTTCGTTCCCAGATTTGTTTCTTTCTTCGATGCCAGTGCATGATTCAGACAAGAACTGTTCTATCATATTTGTTTCCTTCTCGAATTGAGTTAATTTACTGAAATTTTCATCTCGGATCATCCAAATCCTTTATCCTTTATATATAATATTTGGTAGTTAAACTTCTAGAATGTTGACAATTGGCACGTCTACAAGGCATTTTTTAAACCAAATCACCATGACATGTCATGTGGTGCCATGTGGATGTGGTAGCACCCAAAAGTTTTTAATTTGGTTTGACCGGGCTTTAATTTCTTACTCTATTCACGCCATGTCCAGCAATCTTGACGGAAATTTTCCTTCTTCGTTCCTGACGATTCAGCTAATTTCCTTCTTCTTCTTCTTCGACGATGTCCAATGAGCTTCCTTCTTCGTTCGTAATATTTCCAATCATCGCCCTCAAATTCCCAAAATTTTCTTCTTCTTTTGCAGAGTCGTTTCCTTCGTTCCCAGATTTGTTTCTTTCTTCGATGCCAGTGCATGATTCAGACAAGAACTGTTCTATCATATTTGTTTCCTTCTCGAATTGAGTTAATTTACTGAAATTTTCATCTCGGATCATCCAAATTGTCCCAATTAAAGCTTTGAACAAGGATTCTCGACCAAATGGCGGCCCGCGACCATCAGATCGGAGATGGTGTGCAGGAGCAAATCATCCTCAGGTATTTCTTTTTAATCTCCATTTTATGCTTAGCAATCCAGTTATGAAACAATTTTTTAATATATATATTGATCATTATTGAATAGATTTATAAACATATGTCGTTCACATTCCAGACCGGAAACATCATTCCAGATTTCAATCATTGGTTACATATGTTCAAAGATGTGTATGTTAATCATCGTTTTTTAGATTTGTTTTTATGATTTAGCCTTTAGTTTAATATTGTATATATTTGAATGACTAGAGGTATTCAGTATTTAAATTTTTATGTTCTCTATGAGTATTATATTGTGAATCTACTTTTATAGATGTTGGATTATTTGAGTGGAAATTGTTCATGTATGTACATCGTATTGAAGGCATTGACATTTCGTAGACATTGTTCAATTGCTCACCATTTCCCTTTTTTTTCATTATATTATCTCATCAATTTAATTCTGCCTATCATTGATTTTTTCACCATTTTGTTTCCTTTTCCGATGCCAGCGCATGATATCTGTCACAATTGTGTTATCAAATCTGTTTCCTTCTTAAATTGAGGAAATTTGCTGAAATTCTCATCTCCAGTCATCCAAATGGTCCCAATTTAGGCTTCGAACAAGGATTCTCAACCAGTTAGTTGTCATCAGATCAGAGATGGAGTGCGAGAGTCAAGTATCGCAGAGTTCATTACATCGAGCATCCTTAGGTATTTTTTTCTAATCTCCATCTTTGATGCTTCAACAATCCAGTTGTGAAACAATTTTTTAATATATTTTGATCATTAGTGAATAGATTTATAAACATATGTCGTTCACATTCCTAATCAGAAACACCATTCCAGATTTCTTTCATTTGTTAAATATGTTTAAAGATTTATATGCTAATCATCATTCTTTAGAGTTTATTTTCACACTTTAGTTACATCTATACATATATTTATTCATTTTCCTATTGAGATAATATTGTTTATTACCAAATGATTAGAAGTATCAATTACTTTATAGTTTTAGCATTTTAGTTTTTAATGTTCTCTATGAGTATTACATTGTGAATCTACTTTTTTGTCAGATTCTTCTCTTATAATTGAGATAAAAAAATATGCATTGGTGTTGGATTGTTTGTGTGGAAAATGTTTTGATATCTGCAATGTATTGATGGCATGAATCTTTTGTAAACATTGCTCAGGTGGTCACCATATCCTTTTGTTTCATTATCTTTTTCCCAACTATTTAGTTCTACCTATCATTAATTTACAACCATTTTTTGTTTCTCTATTGATCATTTTATTTTCTTTTAATGTATATGATTACCGATGTTCCATGCTTGATGAAATTTTCATCTTTGAAGTAAAGTAAATGTTGAAAAAGAAAATCAAGTTTACTATTTGAAAATTAAATTTGCTCCATAATTGAACTCACTTTCTTTCCACAGTTCTCCTTCTCTTTGTGTGTTCTGCGATTCCGTGACACACAATATAACACAATAGATACGTGTTTAAGAATGAATCTGGGCAATAGAAATAAAATGTGGGCCTCAAGGCTGAATATGTTCACCACCATCATTGGGGTTGGCATTATTTCAACCGTTACATTGTATTAAAAACAGTAGAGAAATGAAGAACCATTTTTTATGACTCCATTAGAAGTAACATAGTGACCTGATGCACATCTGTAACCATTATAAATGAGGAGACCTGTTATTTATCTTAATTAAATAAGACTTTTTGAAGTGCTTTTGTGCTTTATAAACATGTGAGGCAGAAGGGAACTAATTCTATCTCAACGGGAAGAATGAAATCATAGGCATTTAGATTCCAAAGTCAATAGCGTCAATGATAGAAAATATTGATCCTGCCACTTTTTGCAGGTTAATGTGCACTTGCACACTCTGCCAAAAGATATTCTACATGGCAGACTTAGTATGTGGAAGTAGTTTGGGCAGGTTAAAAAGTGCTTCAGTGCCAGCAAAACTACAAATGTTAGCCTTACAAGAATGGTATTTTTCAAGGTGAGCAACTACCCTTTTGTGGTGTACCTGGAGGATGAATCGACTTAAAAAAATCCCTTTTACACTACATTTGATTGTTGTTCAACCAAAACTTGGGAAGCAAATGTATGCTCATTTACTTACGTATGGTTGGTGGTACCTCACATTTATCTATAACAAGAATGTGCCCATTTATCCATTCTTCTTTTATTGAAATTGGAAGAGTTGTGTATTTTTCTCCATGACTTCACAATGACTACCCAACACTAAATACACGTCATTAAATAACATTTTGCATCTTAGAACATGTTCTCTTTATTCTTATTAAAATGGTATCATAAACAACTTTAACCTTTACTAGAATGATAATAGTTCGAACCAGATCAATCATAAAAAAAAATTAGATTACACTTTAATAGATTAAGAACAAAACTAATCAAATCAGACTTTTAGTCTGTATGTTTAGATCATATTAATACTCTGTGCACACTCGCTCATAGTCTAATTTGCACAAAACGTTGAACCATTATCTTGCATTTGTCACATGCAAAAACTATTTCACAATTCTGTTTATGTCATATCTAACATTCTACTCCCTCCGTCCCATTTTAAATTGCCTGTTTGCCCTTTTTCTCCGTCCCAAAATAAGTTGCCTGTTAGTTGTTTTCGTAAACTTTAAAAAATAAAATACCTAAACTACCCTTAAAATTAATCACACTTCTTCACCTTAAAATTACGTGGAGGTCCGTGGGGTCGCTTGACCCCGTATGATCCTATGTGGGTCCGCCCCTGATATATATACATACTCCGTATATATATAACCCTGATTTTTTATGTGCAAGGTAGCCGTGGCGGGGGGACGAAACATATGAATTTGATTATTAAAAGTAATATGTAGTATTAATTTTAAGTTCACAAGAATTAACTTACCTTTCCGCCATTTTAACTTACTTTTCTATAATTATTATAAATATAATAATTATAATAATTATTACTATAATTTCGTCTACTTACCATTTTAACATCACAATTGCCATTTGTAATTGTCATACTCTTTGGGCAAGAAAATTATAAGTTAACTCCATGTCTTTTTAAATAAAGTATGGAATACTAGTTTTATATTAATATTGAAAGAAGTATATTTAAAACTGAATTCGTTTTAATTTATCATAAACAAATATTCATATGAAATTTATTTAGAGGTGAAGAGAGTAATGGATTAGTTAATTATTGTTTCGGGTCGATCCGATTCGATTTTGGCCGGTCTTCGGGTCGGTCTGTATTTGGACCAAATAAAGCACAACCGAGGGATGAATGTCAAGCCCGAGCCCAGGCCAGATCAGCCCAACACATATCCTTAAAATGAAAAATTTACTACGAATCTATCTTATCGGAATCCCTTGTAAATTGTGGAGCTCGTCCCACAGCCTCTCCATCTATCTCTTCAACCCGGCGGCAGTTTGCGTCCTCCGATGGCAGCAGGTTGTTTACAAATCTTGAATATGGAGAAATCCGATAGAGGTAATTCCATTCGCACGCAAACCCTTCTTCTTCTTCTCTCTCTCCCTCTCTCTCTCTCTCTCTCTCTATATATATATATATATTTGATTTTGTCGAATTTGAGTGAACGGAACCCTGACTTTTTATGCGCGAGGTGGCGGTGGCGGGGGACGAAACATATGAATTTGATGATTAGAAGCCTTGATCATGATAAAAATAAATAATCACGGCTAAGTGAATAGGGCCCTAAATCCGCGCTTTTATCTGAATTGAATTTTCATGAATTAAACCCTGATTACGTTGCTTTTTCTTTTTATCTTTTGAGATCAAAATGTTCTAATTTGATTCGAATTGAGCCCTTGTTGATGGTTGTTTGTTTGTTTTTATTCCTGTAGAAAGGCAACCTTTTGTTCTTGTAGTAAAACGTGAGGATGACACTGAAGCTCAAATTTTGTTTACTCAAGGTAAAAGCTGCTAAATCTGAGCTATTGTATATCCAATTGGTTTGTTTAGGTGTAAAAGTTCAATTTTCATTCAGAACAAAAAAAAAAGAAACTTATTGAAAAAGATAATTGAACCAACCAAGTTGTAATTGGTTACAACTTACAACAAGATAATTGAACAAGATAGTTGACAGCCATCTGATTTTGCCAACTTATTGAATCATCACATATTAATTACTAATTTTAGAAAATGCAAATTATTCGGATCAATATGAGCATGGGAGTTCATGGGATACTGAATCCCTTTTATTGCGGAGCAATATAAGCATCAAACTATGGATACACTAATTTACACATCCTTCTTCCCAGCTACGCGTCCTCGAGAGAAACACCGTTCCCTGATTGCTGCTCAAGCTTCACTCACTCCTAGTCATCCTTGCTGGTCTCGCGCCAAGTCCTTGGTGGCCGTAAGTCTTCTGTTTTGTTTTCAAAGCGTGATATTTTCCAACATTTTTCGTGCCTCTATTTGCATGTCATTGGTAAGCCTCCAAGTAGACTATGGCTAACCTTTGAAATCTTGCTTCTTCATGGGGCAATCATAGGTGCATAGGCAAAACTTTGTGTCACTTTAGCATGATCTTGGTTCTATTTTCTATGCGGCCTTTGCTGCAAGGCTATATGAAGTGAGCCTTAAGGCTCTCACTTCTTTGCACCCTTAGGCTCATCAGGTGAGACATAAGGTGTGCTTGAATGATTACGCTTTTATGTTTGGATTCTTTTTTTTTTCTCTTACAAAACAGATTTTTTTGGTCTCATAAGTTATCCATCGCTTTCATTCTTCTTATTCAAGAGTGTCGGATTAATTTATCTTGGTTTTGAGACACGATCATATCTTTGACGGCTGGACCTTTTTCTTTTTCTTCTCTGCATTTACATATTGTTTAACATTTTTTAGTTAGAGTGTGTGCGTAGTGATTTTTTACTTTTTCTTTTGATTTTCATGTTCCGGGATTGTTTAATGCTCTATTTGCGTTCATGTATTCTTATCTCCGTGTAGGGATTTCAGGATGTATAAAATATGTTGTGTGCGTAGTGTGTGTGTGTGTGTGTGTGTGTGTGTGGGGCTTTAGTTCTTACCAAATCCCTTTACCCTGTTGCATTGTAGTGCATGGGTGATACGCACAAAGCTGGTGATCCGCGCAGAGCTTGCCAAAATTATATTGCATCCTTGGTGAATTGTGTACAGAAAGTGAGGCAGCTTGCTCGCTTGTTTCCATAGCCTTGAAATGGGTCGCGTGTTTGATGGATTCTTCAAAACAAGTTGCTATTTCCTTATGCGAGCCTTGATTGTGTTGTTGGCATATTGAGAACTTTATTGTATGGTATCATATATTTCTTTATTGTATGTGAACCCTTTTAATGTTAAAACTTTATTGTAGGGTATCGTTGATTTATTTTTTTTACTTACATTTCATTAAGAACCATGCTACAGTTACACCAAAAAATATACCCCATTTGTACACCACAGGTTTGCACAAACATTTCGATGGTTTACACTGACACAAGTGTTGGTGCGTTAATAAAAAATTCACACGGACACAAATGTTGGTGCATTTAACAAAAATTAGTTTTACACCAACACAAAGTGTTGGTGCAAAACTGCGGGGTACAAATTGGGGTACAATTCTTGGGGTACACATAGCATAATCCTTTCATTAATAGTGCTTATAAGTATAAACAAACAAAGAAATCATTTTTGGGTCAAATCACATTACCTGATTCCGCCGCAGGTTGCACAAGTATTGGGGAGAGTCCGCACCACATTATTTTTGTTCAGAAGTTCTTAATGAAGTAATATCGAACATCAAGCTCATTAGAGAAGAAAAGATGAAGCATGATCCTAAAAAGTTGTGGGTTTATAATTTTTTCTGACCCGACCCGAACCCGAACCCGACCCGACTCAAACCCGAATGTCTTATAACTTACTACTACGTAAAAGCCTATTTATGAATATAATGAGCACTTTGTATAATCTCTTGACAAAGTACTACTATATCATGTCTGCCTTTTATAATCATTTTTATAATTCCTTAATAAAAAAATGAGACACAAAAAAGAGACAAAAAATTAGATTTAATCTTTTTAAAATTATTGGGGTACGTTGAATTGATTATTGGTTAAAAGTCAAGTTCATGTCGGGTTCAAGTTCCGAGTTGAAATGTCATGTTCGCTTTGGGTCGGGTTTTTGGCTTAAAAAGACGTATTTTGGGTTGGGTTCGAGTTTCGATTTTAAAATTCAGGTCCAGTTCGGTTATATTACTATCTAACTAAAACCTGATCGGTTGACATCCCTACTGTCGACAGCATGCTATTGTGAAGACAAAATGCTATTGTGAAGTTGGCTGAATGTTTTTCAGTTTTGGACTTTACCACCACTGCCAGATCTATTGCTAAGCTAAGGGGGTAAAAGTAGTGATTTATTTACTTGTGGACTAATTGGCTGCAAATGCAGCGCGTGTGGTGAGCATTTTTTTTGTTTTATTAAGTTAATTACTCATATTTACAAAAGTTTGAGTTCTAACTCATATTTTGAAAAGATGTCATATTTTTTATTGTTTTCCTCTTAGTTTGATCCTTCTCCCATTTGTCTTTAGCAAATACTCGAGTACACACTAGTAGACAATTATAATTAAACTTACAAATAAATAATTTCTAATATATGATCTAAAGGAGGGTTTGAATATGGAGCACCATTAAAACTTGTATACTTTTTACTCAAATCATGTTTCTTAAATCTTAGTCACCGAATTCTAATATATGATAACGAAAATATAAATTTCACCTCAACTCAAGTACTCCATATTTTGCTAGTCCGTACAATTTATACACATAAGAAATTTTAAGGAGTAATAAAAAAATGAACACTAAAAATGAACACTAAAAGTGCATTTTTCTTCCTTTCCACCAACATGCTTCCACTTTTAAATTTGAAGGAGAATAATCCATCATCTTGACTCTAAAAAGGTTCACATAAGCAAAGAGGATCTTGTTTCTAACACAGCCCGTTTGAAGCCGTGGTAGCGGACTTATATCACATTCTTTACACATTCCATCAAGGTGAGAGCACAGTGTGAACAATCTTCGATGCGATCATTGTGCATTTCCAAACACTGCAATAGAAAGAGGCCTATGAGCACAGTTTAATATACTAACCCAACCCAGTATTAAAACACTTTAAATGATACGATATCACCTAACAACAACATTACCCCAATGCCTCAAGGACTCCCCACCCATTGCGTGGTAAGGGGGTTGAATGCACGCAATCTGACCACTATGTTTAAGACATATAGCAGATGTTTCCAAATGACTCATGATGAACATCAAAAGTTGCATTGACTAACTGCCACTTCACTATCAAAAGAAACACATGTAGTTTAAACAACTATTTTTCTTTATTCCATCAATACTCCAAAGCCAAAAAGTAGTGAATCTTTCGCTCCATCGGGCATGATGGAAATGATACGATATCACCTAAACTAGTAAAATTCCACGAATGTGAACTTTGGGGGTGGGGGTGTAATAGACTTTACCCCTACGTTGAGAAGCAGTGACTCTGCAGTAGTCACCAAAGACAAATATAAGTACATAGAAAATAAATGAAAATACAAAGACCTCACAAACCACAACACATTTAATAAATCCTAAAATCCCTACACACAAATATTAGGATATGCGGACAAAGCAAAAGAGAACTCGAGCACTAAATTAAAGTATGTTAAGAATTCTAGAACATTTAAATTCATATGAAATGGAAGGAAGCACTAAAACAAAAAACTGAGATACTGAAACTCAAAAATGTTGAAAAAAATGGAAATGCAGAGAAACACTGAATAACTTAAAACTTAATGAAAAAAATGTAGCCTGTTTTTTTAAATAATAATAATTATAGTAACCTAATCCTTCATGCACAAAGAATTTGTGCCTTAGGACTCACCTGATGTGCCAAGAGGTGCAAACAGGTGAGCGCGGGGCTCAAATCATAGAGCCTTGCTGCGAAGGCTAGGGCGCACAGAAAATAGAACTTAGAGCATAATAAACTGACATAAATTTCTGCCCACACACAAGATTGCCCCATTAAGAACCAATAATTCAAAAGTTTCCCAGAGTGTATACAGATGTATACCAACAATATCAAAACAGAGGATGGAAAAGTGTTGGAAAATATCCAGCTTTGAAAACAAAAGAGAACACTTACGTCCTTCAAGGATTCGGCAAGAGAACCGCAAGGATCATCACGACTAGCAATGTGTGAGGTTCGTACAGCTGGAGAGAGGGAAAAAGCATGGATATAAAGTTATGGTGTATATTATTGTAGCCATTGTTGGATGCTAATAAATTGCTCTATGATAGAAATGATTCAGTATCCATGAACTCGTTAAGATAAGAAATTTGGCAAGGATGGAAATAAATACAAACAGTCAGAATAACTTGCATTTTCTACAATAAGTAATTACTATGGAACATTTCAATACGTTAGCAAAAACAGATGACCAGTTCAATTATCATGATGTGACGGGGAGGGAATTTAAATACCCCCTCCATATTCTAGTCTCACATGTTGCTTGATACCATTTACTATTTGATCGTCTTTCAACCGAGAATGTATACTCCAATAGTTTAAGACTAAAGAAACCAGTGCATTTTTCCTGAATAATGATTGAAACTCAAATCCTCCTCCTTTTTTTAAAATACAAATTGAACTTTAATACCTAAACAAATTATTCGAGCACATAATATAGCTCTGTTTAAGAAGCTTTTACCTTGACCAATTTTTCCAGGAATACCGACAATGACTTGAGTAGAAACACCACGACTTTGTCTCCCTACAAGATCAGAAATAAAAAAAAAACTCAGCGAGCGTTCTAACCAATCAAATCAGAACAGTTTATCCCAAATATATAGAAAGAAAGAGAAATCAGATCAGGGCTTTAATCATTAAAATTCGATTCTCATAAAAATCGTGGATTTAGGGTTCTATTCGCCTAAACCTGATTGTTTTTTTCATCGAGATCAATGGTTATAATAATCAAATTCAAATAATTCTCATTCACTCAAATTCTATATATTAACACGTAAACGCATCTGAGAAGGGTTTTGTTTCGAGAATAGTTTGCGATAAAATGGAATTTACCTGTAGTGGTTTCTGGCAGCGGATCGGTGCCTGCAGAAACACGAGTCTCCATTGAATTGAATGAGAGAAACCAAACTACGGGCTTCAGGAGAGAAAGAGCGAGAGGGTCCGGAACAAAAGCAAAGGAGATCTTACGGACGGGAGAGAGGAAGAAACACTCCGTAGGTTTTAATGGAAAAGCAGTTGTTGGATTTGGGCTTCTATGGACGGTTCCTATTTTGTTTTTAAGTCCAAAATGTTATGTTATGATTTTATTTTCAAATTGGTATATACTACCTCCGTCCCGCTATATTCGTCCACTTTTGACTTTTGAAACTGTTCATCTAAGCACTTTGGCTCATCAAATTTTGTCAATGTGTAAGCCTAAATATAGTCATGTGTGATCTTGTTTGATTTGTCTTAACATATAGATTATTAATATATAATTTCTATAATTTTTTAATATACAAATTACAAGATAAAATGGATTAAAAAAGTGTATTGGATAGTGTGTAAAAATGAAAGTGGACAAATACTCTGGGACGGAGGGAGTAAATAAAAAGTAAATCTTAAATATTGAAAAGTTACATCAAAAAATGTAAAAAATAGGTAGTGATAAAAAAATTTATTTCATAAAAAGACAAATAAAAAACTACACGCAAAAGTCAAAAGTTATCGAGGGATGAACAATTGTCTTATCCCCACTTAACCAAAAGTCTACGCTCCCTGCCGCATTAGAAAAATATTCTCTCTGTTCCATAAAATCTTTTTTCTTTTTTTGTAATTCCCTAAAACATTTTTACTTTTTATTGAAAAAATCAATTTTACTCCTAATTTTTCATACTCTATCTACATATCAAAGACAAAATTGAAAAATCGACTACATTTTCCTTATTTTGATCCAAAGTCAAAATTGAAAAGGTTTAAAAGAAGAGTATTGGTTTTGGATTTAAACAAAGGCATGTACTATAATAGTGTATGTAAGTTTTCTACTTGGGACTTTTTTAATGTTAGCAAATCCAAACTACTTGAACCTTGAATTTATGAGTGAACCTATAAAAGATTTTATTGTCACTACAATGGTATATTTGAAAATTTAAATTTGGATTCCAATTTAGATTTTGACTCAAATTACATGTTTGAAAATTTAAATAAATTATATTTGGATGTAGACCAAGTCCCTCTCATTCTCAAATCTCAACACATCCCGATTACCAATCTACATACTCTATTTATAATTTAAAATCTAATAATCCAAATTAAAGAGGGATGTAAGAATTCCAGAGGAAGTGTATAATATCAACGAGTTGAAGGCTTTTGCAAATTAATTACTCTACTCGCCCTTATATGATCTATGCTTATATGTTACATTGTTACGCGATTTTTTATAAACCATACTACAAATTGATTTCCTTGAAAAAAGTATTGGGATAAACGGAAAAATGGAGGAATCAAGATAAAAAAGATAGTAAGAACAAAGAAACCGTTGAAGCACGAATAAACACAATTAGTCCAAGATTGCTCAAAAAAACACAATTAGTCGAAGGATATAGGGAAACACAAAACATTTGATAACACAAAATACAAAACTTAACCACTGCTCAAATGGCATTCAACACTGCATTAGAGTGCCACAATCAGATCTTAATACGAACAAGAACAAGAACAAAACACAAGGGGTGCCACACGCGAGGAAGGTTATACATAGACCTTACTCCTACCAAAAAAGACAAGATAATTGGAGATTGTCATGATAATGTGCACTGAAAAGGTAAGCAAATCCCATGTGTTTCAAAACTACCTGAGATCACAGTGAGGCACATGACTACCCAACCGCCTGGGAATGGAGGTATCGATATGATGAGGATGGTCAAGTAGAGGCTGTAGCATTGGATTATGATCTCCAATAATTCGTGGTTGCCAAGGACCTACAAAGGGAGGAATCATATACCCAAAAGGTCTTCTTCTGAACATCACAGTCCTCCTCCTACTCTTCAATTTTTTTAAAGCTGAGCTGAACTTCTTTTTCCAGCCACCATCTTCAGCAGAACTCCCAAAATCAAATTCAACCAACTTCCCAGCCAACCTCCTCCTCACATCAGAAGGATTCCCAAATTCACACAAATACTTCTGCTTCCACAGGTCATCGTTTGACACCAAGTAGTTCAGCTCAGATGAGACACAGCTCATCTTTGCCAAATCAACTCCGGGCAGTAATTCCAAGATTTTCAGCTTGAGTTCAGTGGGGAGTCTCACAAAGCATGGTGGGAGTCCAAAACCAGCAACCTCACAGATGTCGATCAGCAATGGCAATGCAAGCCTGTCCTTGACGGTCCTCCAGAACTGGAAAATTTCTTTCTCAGGCGAAGTCCATATAAGGCCATCTTCTTCGGGAATTATTTTCTCAGATAACCCACAGTTAGACCAGGCAACATTCAACAGTGGAACTAAGTGTTCTTCATTTAGTTCAACATGGTGCACTAGGGAAGTGCCAGATGAGAGAAAACCATAAACTATCACAAACTTCCCTAGTGTCTGAATCTTAAGATTAAAAGTGGGGATGATATTATTACTGTTCTGGTCATTAACAGTGACATTATCAGCAATCTCAAGCAGTGTGTAACAGGGATCAGTACCTCCTCTTTGGAATGGTGATTGAAATCTGATGATTTTCTTAAGCAGGATTGGGTCGAAACCAACAAATCCAGACTCAAGCAGAACGCCATGAACGGCAATCATCAAGAGCTTGTGATCTCTAACACCACCATCATCATTACTCAACTCCTCTGTAAACACTTTTCTCAAAAATCCAGGAATTGAAAATGATTTCCCAGGTGTGACTGAAAGCTGGTCATCATCATCATTCACATCCCAATCTATTTCCATGAGTTCCCCCTCTACTTCCTCTCCTGGGTGGAGCAACCCTGTGGTGTTCACGTACTCAGATTTCTTGGCCGATTCAACCTGGAAAATAGAACTTGGCTCTAGGTTTTTCTGGTTCTGGTTGATGGAATCGGAATTCTCTGTCGATTCAATCAAGAAATCAGAACTTGATTCTGATGATTTCTCGTTCTGGCTCGCGGGATCAGGTTTCGTGGACGATTCAACCGGTAAATTAGAGCATGAAATGGAAGAATTTAGGGTTTCCAATGATTCACGAGGATTGGGATTAAGGGAGAAGAAGATGAGGTCACCGGAGGTAATACCTAGCATCTGGAGCGTTTCGTCGGGCGAAGAGCATCGAAGCTCGTCTCTATGGTTGAGCGAGAGACGAATATAATCTGGAGAGAAATGAGAGGAGTCGGCGGATGATCCGGGGAGTGCCTGAGAAAGCAGGCGTTTGAGTTCCGGCAGGGTGGAAGAAGAAGGGACGTCTACCCGTATGGTTTCTTTGGTCACGGCTGATCTGAGTCTCAGCTTCATGGCAGCGGCAGAGGAGGCGGCGTCACTTCCGGGTGGTATTTTGCTCTCACTGCGCCGGCCGGAAAGTTCAGACTACACTTCCGGGTTGAAAATCATAGTGGGTCGGCGACCGAGTTTTAGGATTCTGGTTGGAATCAATTTTGGAGGAAGGTGTAGAAAAAACGCACATGTGGGTTATCTAACTGTGGGTTATCTAAAAATTGTACTCCGTATCCATTTTGTATGTAGGACATATCACTAATTTTTAAACTAATACTCCTTCCGTCCCAAAAAGAATGAGACGGTTTGACTTTTTGGAAAATTAAGGGAGAGATATTTTGGTATTGACTTTCCAAAAATACGTATGACGTGATAGGTAGGGTATTAAAAAGTAAGGGGTAAAAGGGGTTTTTTAATAGAAATGTAACGGACTTTACGGGACGCAGTTTTTTCTAAACGTAACAAACTTTTTGGGACGGAGGGAGTACAAAATGTGTAAATTTTTTATCAAAATAAATTTGATATCAATGTAAGTCCTTATAATATTGGTCTAAGTATATGATGTGAGATATACTCCGTACTTTTTTGGTGTATCCCTAAAATAGTTGTAGATCTGAAATTAAGTTGGGATAATCAAAACATCAGATCGAATTAAAACAAATAGATTATAAGTATAAACAAATCTTGCCAAAAATATCTAAATTGGATGTAAAACCAAAACTAAACCAAAAATTGATTAGTGTTTTTTATTTTCACTATCGAAAATTGACTTTAATTGAATTTTCTTATATAGTATGGAGTACTTAGGGGTATTTTGTTCTAAGTTTAGAATTATTGAGAGATGTAGAATGTAAATATAAGTCTTTTATGTTATCGTAGTAACTTATAAGAGGTTGGCTTATTTAAGGTATAGATTAGGCATAGTTTTAAGAACTGCACATGTGACCAAATCGGTCGTGTTAGTGGTTCACTTGTCAAAATTCATTATAGGGCGTTATTTAAGTTGTCGAACTAGTTTATACTCTGCATGACGTCATATACTCCCTCCGCCCACAAATAAACTTCTCGTTGTGCGTTACGATGTTTGACTGAAGTTATTTTTAAATCATTTTATTTGAAAATGGTGTAAAATTTAAAAATAAAAATTATATATTAAAAAAACTATATCAAATGATTTTTTTTGCAACACACTCCATATTAGAATTAATTATATTTTTAAATTTTAGGAATCTTAGTTTAAGTAATAAAGAAATCTTTAAAAACATACTACGCCATTATTATTTTAATTATGGAATCTTTTAATTAATATGAAACAGATTTACAACAAAAAGTATTCCTGCTCAGGTTGAAAAACCTCAATGTTACTTTCTTTGTCTCGAACTATTTGTTCAAACACCAAGGTTCCAATGACATTAGAAATTAATGTCATGATATGATTTGAAAATTGCACAATTTATTTAATTAATAAATTACATAATTTATCCATCAACATTAAAATGTATATCAAATACTTTCAAATTGAACTATTTAAAATGTTGCATCGTTAGTCTTAAAATGCTAGATAGAAATTGTGTTGCTTACATGCATGAAAATGGCAAGAATGGTTCATATGGCTCTTGTCACCCTTGTGTATTCTCCAAAGGATATTTCTCTAAAATTATTGCCTTTTAAATGTTCATGGAAAACCATGCAATTTCTAAAAATTGTAGAAGTTTACCCATCAACATTAAAAAGTATTTAGTGTAATTTTTGAAAAATTAAGAAGTATTTGATACATTTCTTAATATTTCGTATTGAATTTAGAGATAAATCGTACAATTTCCGTAAAATTCAGAGGTAAACGATACATTTTTGTCAATAAAAAATATACATTGAAAATATTAAAATTAAACTAGAAGAATTAACTTTAAATGAAAAAATTATTATATCAAATTTTATTTAATTAATAATCAAAATTTATTAATAGTAATTGTTAGAGAAAAATGAGGAGGTAGTACAAATGGGAATGCCACCTTCATCAGTCATCGTCATCCTCCAAATGCAAGCCCCGGCCAGGAGTATCAGCCTTGCGGTCTTGCTGAACCGTTCGCGGTCCAAAATTTCCAGCTTCCGCCGAGCCTTCTCATCCTCTCCGTCTTCATCTCATCACTCAAACCAGTCCCGCGGCGGCCTCCCCCGCTTCTACTCTGAGATCCTTCCTTCTTCCAAGGCAATCTTAGCTCTTCCCTCTCTCCACCTTAATGCATTATCCAGTCGTTGAATTTCTTCTATGTTGCTCTGTAGTTTTCGACCTATATTTATAATTATAGTCTTCGCATCTCCTCCACTGCACGAAGTAGATTGCCTTTTAAATCATGTATGAATAAAGGTGCTCAGCTTGTTTTGAGGTTTGATAGAATTTAGGATGGGTGCATTACGATCACAACACTTGATCATAAGACACTTGGATTGAACGACACTAAAAAATTGAAATCACATCAATTAATTAGTTCAACTCAAAGCCTTATAAATCTTATATTCTTCCTTAAAATAATCTATTTTTCACATCTCCTTTACTACACTGAGTACAGGGCGAATGAGCTGCAATAGATTGTCTTTTAAGTCATGTATGAATACTGGTGCTCAGCTCGTTTAGTCGTTTTGAGTTTTGATTATCTTATATAGAATTGGAAGAGTTGTACTTGTGCATATACATGGACATGGTATCCATTTATGATTTATGTGTTGAGTTGATTTGATGAAGTTATGTTTGTAATTTTATATTTAGTTCTGATTGATCTTAGTACCTTTATGAACTGTCTTAAAATGCAGGGTAGTGTTGTTCGTGTGAATGGAGATGAGTTTTGGCACATGACTAGAGTATTAAGATTGAATGTTAATGATAGGTAATCTCGAGTTAAATTTAGGGATGGTGTTTGGTATATTATGTTGATGCTGGTTCTTTATATTTAGTCAATAGTGCTAATAAAGCCTAAAGAACTTAGTATTTAGGAGTAGTTTCTAGCATAGCTTCGATTGAAAATGCATCAAAGATGGGAATGAATGGAAATAATTGTGAAGGTTGTGGTGCAAATGTGCATATAGGATAATTGTATGGAGAAATCTAGGTATTGTTACCTGATGTTTTTAGGGAATATTGTGATTTACATGGATTTTACCTTTTCTGAGTTCTTTGATTGTGTTTGAACCTCTAAGTCCATGTTGGGGAATGACTAATAAATAGAAATGTATATTAAGACAAAAAAATTAATCATCTCCTCCAAAATCTCCCAACAAAAACCCCCCTAAAAGGTTAAGGAGTGGAGTTCTAGCTTAAAGGTATTTGATGGGAAAGGAAGCTTAGTCTTCATCTCCTTGATCTTTGCTGAAAATGGAATCCTAATTTTCACTTTCTCCATCATATAGCAACAAATAATGTCAAATCCTTGTTTTAAATTTGAAAGGGTAGAGCTATTCGATGGAAATGGAAGCTTAGTTGAAGGATGCATACAGGACATTGATCAATCTGGATTGAACTTTGTGGCGTTAGAGAATCCCAAGTCGGTATCTCCTTTGGAGACTCAATGGCATGTCTTTACTGCTTTTGGTAAGTATTTAAGAGCTGTGTTAACTGGTAGAGCAGCATACTCCTGTTTCTTGCTTGCTTCCTTGCTTTATCGTTAAAAAGATGTTTTGTTTTAGGAACTCTAAAGGGAGGTCGGGCTGATTGGCTTGTGGAGAAATGCACTGTATGTATTCCTCATGCTTCTCTAGATGTGTGACAGGTAGACTTGTAACCTGTGTAGTAAGGTTCTAAACAGCAGACGTGGATGTGGCTGAAATGGCTTATTCAGTTGAAATGTCTTTTTAAAAAACTATTCAAAATGCATGGTTTCATAAGATAAAGGGAAATATTTAAAATCAAAGCTGTAAGTAGCAATACCATCTATTTCAGTCATTTCAACCATTAAGTAATCCATGCTCTACTTTGTTTTCTTCATTAGCCAATTCAGCTAGTGAACTGATAGTAGTTATATTAGCAAGCCTATGGCAAAATCTATGGTCAGGCCAATGAATCTGTTAAGCCAAAATTAAAACCACCAAACGGGCACTGAGAAACATTTTGTTTCATCTCATGTTTCTTGTTTCAGGAGCTGGGGGCCCACAGCATTACTCCATTGTTGACAGAACGGTCTCCTTTGGTTTCAGGAAACCGGGTGGAGAGATTACTACGTGTCAGTTTAGCAGCAGCTAAACAATGTGAGAATTCGAGGGCATTGTTAGTTCTGCACATCATCCCACTTAATATTTGCGTACCTCTTTGTTCCTCCTATACATTAAGTGTTGGTGTTTTTAATAGGTCAACGGCTGCACAAAATGAATTTCAACCCTCCTATGAAAGTTACTGAGCTCTTACCTCATGTAAGTTCAAAATTTTCTTGTTCCACCCTTCGCTCCCAAGTAAACAAATCCAAGCCCTTTTAAGTGTTTGTGTAATGACATAGATAAACTTAATATTAACAATAGTGTGTTTCAGATGAATTTTATTTTTAGAGTAAGTGATTATTTTAAGAAAACACATAATACTTTTACTTTGAAAAACCAGCGTCTGGCAAGAAATGAAAATGTGCTTTTATTTCTAACAAAACACATTGTATTTAAGAAGCCACTTGATTAGAGCTTTTAAAAAGATATTCGATCTTTATCATAAATAGACTCCATATTATATTTTTTGTTTGTCCCAGAAGCTTTTCTTTCCTTTTGGGGATGGAATGGTGTGGTTCATACATTTTGTCTCCTATACACAAAACACAACCACACACTTTCAGATTTATTCATAACCAAGCCCAATCAGTTGCGGAGTCTTATTTCAGGACGGAGGAACTAGAAAGTACTACTTGGGCTTAAATGAGAACATAGTTATTAAAAAACAGTGACAGCATAAGGCATCCCTAATAGCTTCTCAATCCACTTTCATTCCTTCCCATTTTCCAACCTACACAATGATAATTCTCTCCTTTTTCATATTTATTTTATCCGGTTTGCTTTGTTGGCTCTACTGAAGGTCAAAACATCGGCACTATCATTCATTGCTTTGGCGGAGGCTATGCCTATTTTCAGTGCATTGAATTCTCGAAGAAAAGAATCAACTGGATTGTTGATTGTAGGGCCAGAAGGAGGTTAGTTCCCAAGTCCTACATCTTATTGGAAAGATCAATGGCAATTATGATGCTAAGAGAATGTTGGCTTGCAATTTGAAACTTTATTTTAGCTTTTGTTATACTGTAGACTTCACTGAGGAGGAGAGAAAGATGATAGTTGAGGCTGGTGCAACTGCAGTAGGGCTTGGGCCACAACGCCTACGAGTTGAAACTGCCACGGTGGCACTCTTGGCAACATTAATGTTTTGGTCGGACGATCGGCTTGTCTAGCAGACAACAACAGTGTAAAAGATTCACTTTTGACACATGAATGTTTATCACATAAAGGGCAATTATGACTTGTGAGATTTAGATTTTATTCGAAGGAGATATGGTATGGTACTATGGTACAGAGTATGCTGGATAAGTATGGTTTTGTCAAAGTTCATTAGCCTCAATGCATCATTGCCTTTTGGTTTGGTATTTTGTAGTTTTACAAAAATGGTTTCATAAAATAAAATGCTAAGATGTTTTGATGCTTTATCTGTTAGTGAGGAAAAGTTACTGTATTTGGGAAGAACACATTATGGGTTAGTATAAATGGAGAGACAATTTAAAGACTAACATGAATGTTCATGGTTGTCAAAGATAGTCCTTATTATATACAGTATCATTAATATTATCCTTAGTTTGTGAGGATTGTTAGGGACGATTCCCATGACATTGCTCGGCAATGTTATGGGATGACCTGGGACGCTCCGGTGCCCCGTTCGTAAAATTGATGGTTACTTCTCACCCGGTACCCGAACACACCCCTCACCCCCTTCAATTGCACCCCACAAGTTATTTTTGACTTTGGAATCAAATTTTGACTCCAAAGTCAAAATTACCTTGGGGTGCAATTGAAGGAGGTGTGGAATGTCTTCGGGTCGGGCGAGGTGGGGTGGGGGGGGTACCGGGGCACCCCCGGGTCATCCTATGACATGGGGTTCTAATGTCATCGGAACCCCACCGATTATTATATTCAATTATAACTTATGCCCTAGTTATAATGACACTCACCATGAGTGTCATAATATGACATTCACCATATTAAAGCTTCTACAGTACAAAACACGGAATATTTCTCAATCACTTGCAATTGCTTGTATCCATATACTAGCATTTGTAAGCTCTGTTGTGCGGATTTATGTGTCCGATAAAAGATTTTTCTAAGTTTTTTTAAGAGTAAATTCCATAAAAAGTCCTCAATTATAGGCCGTTTTACATATTTAGTCCTTACATATCAAATATTACTAATTTGGTCCCAAATTATTATATTTATTTCCACGAATGATCCTTTGTTAACATTTTCATTAAAATGTGGATAAAATTATAAATTCACACTCCTTTCTCTCCTTAATTAAACTTCCTCCTCCCTTGTACTCCTTTTTCAAACGCGTCACTGAGTTTCTAGCTTTGAACCCTAAACCAAAATCATCACTTTTCTCTCAATTGTTTGTCTAACTGGAGGAACGATCATTTAAGTTTTGGGTTTAAGAGCTTCAAACTCAGCGACGAGTTTGGAAAAGAGTATGAGAAGATGAAGAAAGTTTAATTGAGGAGAGCGAGAAGTATGAATATACAATTTTGTCCACGTTCTTAACGGAAATGTTAACAAAGGACCATTCGTGAAAATAAATATAATAATTGGGGACTAAATTAGTAATATTTGATATGTAAGGACTAAATATGTAAAACGACTTATAACTGGGGATCTTTTATATAATTTACTCTTTTTTTAAATATTTTTTGTGTATGATTTATTGTGATTGAAGTGACACATACTGTTATTTGTTCAATGTCTCATGCAAAAATGAAGTTAGGAACACTAAGTTACAGACACTTAAATAAAAACAAAGTTGACTTGATGAGTAAAGTTGAACCTATTTGTTTTGGTTAATTTGCTCCTATTCCTCCGGTGTGGAAATTGGAGGCATCCCAACAAAACACATTTGGGAAAACATAAGATACTGACTAAAGATTACACACTCCCTGAATCCACAACAATGGAACAAAGAAATTAGTGTTCAATAGAGTTGGGAAAAGACTGGACATATTGGAACATTAGTATTTTGCTTGGTGAACAAAAAGACATGAGTCTGCACAAACAATTTAAAAGAGCAAATTCTCTAACCCGGAAACGTATCATCAAGTTATAACTTGTAACCAATAATATTACAGACTGCTGCAATATTATAATAAGATCCAACTTATGTCTAATCATTCTCTCTTTCCTGCTAGATTCTGGCAGGCACCCAAAGCTTTGAGGAAGATGAAACCAAACATAGAAGAAGCATTTCCTAGAGATCCGGCATGCCCTTCCCGGCTTTCGGGTCATATGTTCTTTCCATGACATCTTCCAATGGAGTGTCCTTTGGACCAGCTATTTAAAAAAATAAAGCCAAAATTAGACTTGTGATGTGCAGAAAATCCAAATATAAGGATCATATATGGGTCATATTAACCCCTTGCACAGGTAGCAATCAAAGCTCTATGGCAAGTCAAAATTTTCATCTAGGAATCAAAGCTGTGATCATGTGGTGTACGATGCCATCTTTAATTTCATCTATAGAGCGTTGAAATTTTCATCTAGCAACCAAAACTTGCTGATGAAACACGCCTGAGATCATGTGGTGTGTGATCCAATCGTTAATGCTTGTTTGGTACATCACATTTTCAATAAGACCATTACTTCCAATGAAAAAGAAAATCCCTTCATCTGCAACCCTAACAAGAGGGTTGTTAGGGTACCCTTCAGCATGATCAAAGGCAAAATTTTAAGACCCCTTGTTGAGCACAAGGGATTTGTGTTCTGATATCAAACCCCTTTTATGGGTGTTTGGTAAAGCGAAAAAGGGTCCAAATTTGATATATTCCAGATATCACAACCCTCCCAAATGGGGGTGTTTTGATATCTCCTGAATTTGGGAGATATCAATCTGGGGGATTGTTATCTCCCTCAACCATCGACCACCCCAGCCACCACTGTTGACGGCCACCAACCACACACCCAACTGTCCCTAACAACCATCATTTCATTTCTCCAGGAAGTTGTGGATTATTTGAATTGCCCTACAAGTGATTGGTCATATTTCAGTTATATCCCTCATGATTGTAAAAGTCTCTAAGCTATTTTGCATGGAGACTTAGCTTTTAGTTTGTTCTTTGCTCTGCCAATGAGGCGGTGCATTTGTTAGCGAGCATCTTATTCTTCTCAGAGCATGGGGGGAAGTGGGTTGGTTACTTGGTTTGCCCCCAGATTTTATTTTGACGACTATTTAATGAAAGTTTGGTTTAAAAAAACCATCATTTCATCCCTCCAAACACTTTCATTTAAGATTTCAGAACACATATCATTTCTTCAATATTTCATAACTCATATCATATCAACCGTCCAGAATTCACCAAGCAGGCCTTTAATGCTTCATCCACCACAAAAGTATAATATAATATGTAATTTGCTTAAAATTTAGGACCCAATATATGGATATAGTTGGAACTTGGGATGAGCTGGTCAATGAATGATAAAACACAAAAACCTCCTAGGAATTAAAACCTCCAAACATATGGGACTGAGTGCAGGTGTTTTGAGTTTTGGCATAGACACAAAAATTATAATAAAATTTCACTTTGAGCCTTACGACCCAAGCTACTAAGTCAACAGCAATCGCCAACTTATTTAGTTCATTACTTCATCCTAGAGCAGAATGCATGGTTTGAACATAAGATGCATGGCCCTTAAAACTGAAGCATAGAGAATAAATTGATTGCACTTTCCAGGATTCAAAAAATGCAGACATATGAAGTTTAACATACCAACTGATGGTCTCGGTGTACTTCTTATCTTCAAGATCTCAGGACGTGGAATAATAGAGCATGATGCTCCAATACCTCTTGAAACTCTTACTTTAGAACCATCTTCCAAGTACCTGATTCCAACTTTGCACGGTAGCCTGCAAACATAAATATTAGTTACAATACTCTATATGGTAAAAGTTAACAGCCTCTCTACCCCTTGGGCAGAGCCGCAGAGGTAAAGTGTGTATATATTGTCCCGCAAACCCTACTCTCTAGTGGCATACACTTTTGTTTTGTTTGGTTTTCTTATCTTAAAAGTTGTTGCAGAGAACAAGAAGACAGAAAGCATATCCATACCCTGTCACTGGATCTAGAACCTGCACATTAGAGACATGCAATGGTGCTTCAACTGAAAATATCCCACCCTCATGACCTTGACCTTGTTTAATATGCTTCTTTACCTGAAATACAAAGGGAGAGAGAGAGTTTGTGCGGGTGAGAGAGAGAGAGAGAGAGAGATGGCTTAAGTAATAAGAGACATAAAAATATACTCCCTCCACCCAAAACTGAATTTTACAGTTGACTTCAAGGGGTTTAAGAAAAGTGTTGAAACGTGAAAATATAATAAGTGGTTAGAATTTTTTTAGAAGAAGAAAAATGTTGTAAGCCACATATTTTTTCCCCCATATTTAGAAATGCGAGAAGTTTTATCAAGTATGGAAAAATAGAAAGTGTGACGTCTAGTTGTCTACCTTGAAACAAAAGTAGAATAATACCAAGGCAAACATATGGCAACACAATAGTTCAGGTAAGATGTGATTCCTTAATATTAGAGGGATTGCAAGTACAAGTACAAAGAGTACCTAAAATTGTTCTTCTTTAACCAATTCTTGCTCCATAAGAAATTATGAACTATGAAACACCACCTAGTATTAACTAGGACTAGGAGGTAGAAATAGTTCCAGCCCATATATAGATCTTCTTCGTTTAGGCAACTACAACTCCGGAAAATTACATCTTTAGGCTCTGTTTGACCTGGGTTCTCAAGTTTTAAAAGTGCTTTAGAATATTTAGAAGATAAATTGTACGGAGTATATGTTTGGCAGATTTTGTCTCCCGCCTGTTTACTAGTGCGTTTCTTAAATAACTTCAAAAGCTTTGAATTAAACTTTTGAAAAACCTGTTAACATATTCATTCTCAATGAAATCTCAGCCTAAATGTCCTAATCTAACTATGACTTACTGTCCCAAAAACACTTTTGAGTTTTGATTAAATTTTAATTGAGAATTGTATACTCTATTTTCCCAACATATACATACTACTTGAACAGTACTATTAAGCATAGAGCTTCTGCTAAGAATACTCTTACTAACTGGCAGTGTTTTCACATGTAGGCTAAACAAAGAACTAGTATGCAAACAACGTTAGAAGATGCTTAAGAGGAAAAGGATGATTAACTAATGTTCACAATTCAATTGGAGATTCAAACTCTGATATCATACTATCGTAGAAAAGATAACTTTACCCACCAGATTTTTGCCCTCAACAATAACACGATTCTGCGAACGTATGACACGCTTAATGACTCCCTTCTCACCTTTGTCTTTGCCTCTAATGATCATAACCTGAAAATCAAAGCCGAAGAAACAACAAACAAATTGCCACCATTAATTCAGAAGATACAGAAGTGCGCAAGTGTGGCAAACAAGATAGGCTACAAATTCATTTCATCACTTCACCACATTTGCTATTTACATTGTCACCTCTGAGAATCTTCCAGTGATGTATGAGTTTCTGAGCAGCTTTCCAACCCATTATAGCTGAGTAACATTTTAAAATGCTGAACACATCAGAAAATCATCATAGATCCATGAATTATAAACTGAACATGATATATATACCAAAATTCGGATAAAACTGCACAAAACACAAGATGTATTTCAATAGACTGATGAAGAATCAAACTTTGCCCCAGACGGTATAAAGTTTTTCTAATACATAATAAAAATCAAAATGATCAATAAGCTAGTGCTAGATTTTACCCGAGTCACTCAAAAATTGGAGGCTGCCGCCACTTTCTGGTCGGAGTAATCGTCGGCCGTCGGAATTTCCTGTCTCCGATTGAGGTGTTGAGCCAGAGAAAGAATGAAAACGGAGCTTAGTTTAGAAAATAAAATACTCCGTACCTGGATTGGATTCCGAATTGGGCTCTAGTCGAGGTAGACTCGGCCCAAAAGTTCCCATGGCCCGGAGTATTATTCAACATTTTATAGATAGTCCCCCGTCCCTAAAAAAAATAAAAAATTGACACAATTTTACTTCTTTTGTCAAATTATAACAATTTTTTATCATGAATTAAATATAGTTTAAAATAATTAAGTATTACTCCGTATAAAGTTTTGACATTTCAAAATTATAATTTATAATAAACTCAATTTTACTAAACTTATATTATAACTAAATATATTTTTGTAAGGATTCACAATCAAAAAGTGTTATAATTTGATCAAAAAAATCAAATTGTGACAATTTTTAAGAACAGAGAAGTATATAACTTTTCCTTTCCTCTCACAATTTTTTCACCAATTTGACCAAAGTTCATTGTTATTCTCTTTTTTATTGTATAACAATTTTACCATGCCACAATGGATGACCTTCTCCGAGGCTAAATAACATCGGCAAAGTTCTCATGACATTGTCCGGCAATGTCAATGGATGACTTAAGAACACTCCGGTACTCCGTTCATAAAATTGACGATTTCTACCCCTAACTCCCACCCCGATCCGAACACACCCCTTATCCCCCTTCAATTGCACTCCACAAGTTGATTTTGATTTTAGAGGGGGTAGAGTGTGTGTTTGGATAAGGGGCTTAGGGAGATAGGAATCGTCAATTTTACGAACAGGATTTCAGAGTGTCACGGATCATCCCATTACATTTTCGGGTAATGTCATGAGAATCTTGCTGAAATAACATTAGTATCTTATGTTATTTGAAAAATTAACACCAAATATTTTCCATTTTAAATGAAAAATTGAAATAATTTGGGAGGGTGGAAAATGGAAAGAAGATTTTTTTGTTTTGTTTTGTTTTCAGTGGGGTGAGAAAGATTCCAATGATGTTATGCGGAGCTGCACGCCGATTGTACGTTTTAACTGAAAAACCAATTGCGGTTGTGGGCGCCGCCGATGAAGGGCCAACCTTTACCGAAGATCAACGCCGATTCGCCCGGCGACGACGGAGATCCCCTCCGCACTAACACCCTCTTGCCGGGCGGCGTAATCGTAGGCGGCGGGCTACGGAAGAAGGCTGCGGGGATCCGGCAGTGGCTTCTGCTGGACTCCACGGGGCAAGCGCAGGTGGTGGAGGTCGGAAAACATGCTATCATGCGGCGGACTGGACTTCCGGCCAGGGATCTTCGTATTCTGGACCCGTTCCTATCCTATCCTTCCACCGTTCTCGGCCGTGAACGGGCAATCGTCATCAATTTGGAGCACATCAAAGCCATTATCACCGCCCAGGAGGTCCTTCTCCTCAATTCCAAAGATCCTTCTGTTTCCCCTTTCGTGGACGAGCTTCAGCACAGGATATTGCGTCACCACCAAGCTACTAAGTCTCAGGTTTCTCTTTTTTCTCTCTACATATTTATCTATACTTGTTAATGGATGAATTTATATTTATTGATTAAAATAGTTCAAAGTTAGAAAGCCTAAAGTGTTTGAAATCAAAAAAAATTTGTTGAAAAGTTGATCCATTTTACAGTACCTTGCTGATTTAGCTTCAATTACTGTATTCGACTGATTCCATAACACCAAATTCAGGTGGGATTATATTTGAATACTCAAAAATCATCTTTTGGTGTCTGTTTCTGTTCACATACTGTGCTGTGCACTTTAAGTTTTATGTTTATATGGATTTGGTAATTGACTGATCTGTATGATTTATGAAGGAAGCTGGAGCTGAGCAGGGTAATGCAGACTGGGCGAATCTGTATGCATTTGAAGATTCACAATCAAACAGAGCAAGCCCTCAAAACTATTCTGGGAATTTTCCAGCTAAGGAAGAGGATGGTAAAGGAGATGGGAAACAAACTGGTGAGAACCGAGATGGACTGAAGCTTCTTCCTTTTGAGTTTGTTGCACTTGAGGCATGTCTTGAAGCTGCTTGCAGTTGCTTGGATAATGAGGTGTAGTATGTGCTTCCTTTTCTTAGGCCTTGTTTGTATGCAGGGTTTTGGAGGACGTAGTTTATATCTTGATACGTACTACATAGTTGACATTCTATAAAGGTCAAAGAAAAAACATGATAGATGATCATATAACATTCCAATCACCTTTTATTCATCTTTAGAAACATTATATTTATAAAGGTATGGATTAGGCCGTCCAAAGCCTTCCATTCAAATTTCAAACCAACTCTTTGCCGAACATCCTGTTGATAATTAATCCCTCCCCTCCCCCTTTTTAATTACAGGCAAGAACATTGGAGCTGGAAGCTCATCCGGCATTAGATAAATTGACTTCAAAAATTAGTACTCTGAACTTGGAGCGTGTGCGTCAAATTAAAAGCAGGTTGGTTGCAATAACAGGGCGTGTTCAAAAGGTACTCTAGTAAGTTTCATATATGAGATTCTTATATAGATTGAAAGATAAATGTGATTGTAAAACATTTTTATCACCTTTATGAAATCCCTTGCTAAATCTCAAGTACGGAGGTATATATCGAGATATGGACTCAGCCTTCTCTCCAATCCACTCCATCGCAACTGACCGTGAGTGGTTAGGTGTTCGACAAATAAGCTGAAAAAAGATTTCATTTTCAGGTAAGAGATGAGCTGGAACATCTGCTAGATGATGATGAAGACATGGCTGAGATGTATTTGACTGAAAAACTTCTGCAACAACACGAGGGCTCTTCTGTTTCCTCTGTGAATGAGCAAGAGGGCTTGGAGGATGGAGTCAATGAAGAAGATTTAAATGACAGGTACTAGAAACTACGTTTTAAAGTTGCAGATTTGTCATTGATTTTTAGGGTTCATATAGGGCTAATCTTTCTCAATGTAGATATTCTAAGATAGTTCAGTTGTAGTAAAATTTACAAGGAACCCTCTTTATTTTATGAGTTTAGAATTTAGAAGAGACAACATATCCTTTCTCAAAAATATATATGAACTTAGGTAATGGAAAATCATTTCATTCTGCATCTTCATTGTTATATTGCAAAAGTCATTGGGGGGGGAGGGGGATTTGGGACGATTAATGATATATTCACATTTTTATGAAAGTGTTTCGCTTGTTTGATATTATTATGCAATTTGTGCTTTTATCATAATTGAATTCTCTTTTAAGCACTTAAGGTGTTTCTTTTTATCACAAAGAAACACATTGATAAATAAGAGGATTATAAGTGTTATTTTATTGTTAAGACTTAAAAACACTTTTTCCATTTCCCTTCAAAGTGTGTAAAACTATTATGCCTCTTCTAAAAAGCTCTGATTCAGTGAAAAACGTCTTCTAATTTAATCACTTAAGAGTTAAGAAGTGTTTTTTCAAAAGCACCATTCTGGTGCTTCCTTAAATAAGTACTCCAATTGTTCATGAAGCGGTTGAAGCGGTTCATAAGTTCTGTGCCGAACACCTCCTTTGAAATATAAATGCACCGTATTCTTTCTTTTAAAAATCAATTATTCCTTACAAATAAGTCATCCCAAACACACATGGATGGGTGTGGATGCACATTCTGCCGTTTTGGGCACGAGGTGAGAGCCCTTTGGTACTTTTGTAACTTGGACCCAATTTCTTTTAATACATTGCAATTGTGTTTGTCATTCTCCATACTATCGTCATTTGGAAGTGCATTTTTCTCATTAACAACCACCCTCCCGATAACCTTGCGCCTTATACCTTTTTCGGGTGGGACGTGTCAGGGTTCCTGCAGAAATCTCAATGGTGGCAAATACTGGTTCCACAAGTTATGGTGTTGATTTGCTACATCTTGATCACCAGCCTGAAAGATCAAATACACTGGGACGAGGCAGTCAAGGAACAAGGACAAGTACAACAAACAGTACTATTAGTAAGCATCTTGATGTGGAGGAGCTTGAAATGCTATTAGAAGCATACTTCGTTCAGATTGATGGAACATTGAATAAGCTATCCACTGTAAGTTAACCTGCACAGATGCTTGATATACTTGGGTCATGTTTGGAACTTTGGATCTCGTAAATTGCTATGAAAAGGAAAAACAATACTAAGAAATTTTTTTTTTTTGTTTTACCTTGAAATGTACGAAGGAAAATCAAATTTGAATCAAATCATGTAAAAAAATTACACATATTTAGATTTCTTAGTCCTTATATGATAGAAATTTTTAATTAAAATGAGTTTGAACAAATTTATAAATCAATTCATGGAATTGAACCCATTTTTATTCTCCCCCCACCCCCAAAAAAAAAATCTTTCCCTCAAATAGTCGTTCCTCCTAAATTTCAACCTTCCTGCTTTCTCCCCGTATCATTTTCCGGGGGTCTCAAACAGACCCTTGAGGATTTATACAAGTAGGTATACTGATATCATAAGATGCAATTTGTTTGTTGAAAGCTGAGGGAGTATGTGGATGACACAGAAGATTACATCAACATAATGCTTGATGACAAACAAAACCATCTTCTGCAAATGGGAGTGATGCTGACGGCAGCAACCCTTGTGATAAGTGCCTTTGTGGTTGTGGCGGGCATTTTCGGCATGAACATCAACATTGATTTGTTTGATCCTGAAAAGGCCGGCATGCCGGAGTTTCTGTGGACCATCGGAGGTGGTTGCACCGGCAGCATCTTCCTCTATGTGATTGCAATCGCATGGTGCAAGCACAAACGTTTACTCGAGTGAACGTTCACATGGACATCTCTAATTGCCTATGCACGAAGCACTTCGCTGAGCGCGGGTCCCAGTCATAAGGGTTCTTGCAAGAGACCTGTCTTTCTATTCCTCCAGCTGAAGTTTTCATTGGTATGAACATTTCTTCCTCCAGTGTTTCTTGTGGGTTCTGTGTTAATTAATAAATTGCCTTGTGAGCATTTCAACACCCAACTTCATATCCTCTGTGCCTAAGTTGTAATTGAGTTGACGCTCCGTTTGGCAGCGATAATCAGCTTAATCTGTCTACAAGCAGATTCTGAAAATCCAGCCAAACAACCCCTAGCAAGCGGGTCTTAAAGTCTTTCAAAATGCGAGTACGACTCTTACCTATTTTCTCCAATGCACCAAATGAAAAAGAAGTTATATAATGATGACAATTCTAATGCACTGGAGTATTGCTATAGTCACATCACGGATGACACTAAGTTTGACATCGCGTGCTCGTGATTGTCTTAGGTGGTGTCAACCTTGGTGTTATCCGAGGAGTTAAAGTAACATTTTTCTTTTGTTTGTGCATTGTAATAAATGAAATAGTGCCAAAAAACCAGAGTAAGATTATGAAAGCTGATGAGGTCCCGTTGAGTATAAGGTTAGGAAATCACTTGTACTTTCTACCCTATCTTTATCCCAAGTTTTCAAAAGAGTGTTATTTGTACTCTTATCCTTGAGAGAGAGCATATTGTCCCAATAATAATTTGTGTACAATTGTGAAGGGGAAAGATTGGGAAGTAAAAAATGACATTGCACATGTGGCACAATATAATTAGTGGGTACAATTGGACATAGTTATGGAACTGATAGTCTAAGGTTCCATCATTTGATTTGCATTTAGTTTATGGGACACATGAATTCTTTCCCCATATAAACTCTTTGCACTTCAAATAGTGCAACTTAAGACCATGATCACACCCCTTTTTCTCCCTGAATACAAAAAAAAAAACTAATATTAATGCAATATTGCTCAAAACCTAAAATGGTTCGATTAAAAAAATTGGATACTGAATCTGATTTATGATTTTTAGATCGATGGGACTAGGTATCCAAAAATTTAATTCGACAATCGTATTGAATGTGGATTATATACGATAAATGTTTGATTTTCACACATACTTAAGTATATACGGCGAACAAAAAATATATTTGTGTGCATGTAAAATGCAAGTGTATCTTATGGCCATTGCCAATGGAGTTGAAGAGTCCTTTTTATAATGTTTTAACTTCGAGTGAAAAAAGAACTAAATCAAAATGATAAATCCAACTTTCCTTACATTTTATTTTCATTTCTATGAAGAAATTGGGTGGTGAATTAATGCATCACAGGATTTGCAAAAAAACAATTTATAGAGTTAAGTTTGCGTACTCCGTATATCTTGACCTTTACATCCAATTGGTGTTGAGATTATCCTAGAGTTATTTTTCTTGTTGGTTGTATCTACACACTAAACAATGTTTTTTAATTGCTGCTGGATGCAAGCATGCAAAGAATAATATATTACTCCATATATTACATTATAATATAAATTCAAAAAAAAAGGATGAGCCCCATCCTCGATGGCTGACTTAAACCCGACCGGACGGTCACTGAAAAGAAGTAAATTAGGCTTTAATCGTAGATTGGTGGCAAAGAGGGGAGTCTGCACTTGGTACTTGCATATACCCTATGCTTAGCATATTTGTCTCCCAACGCAGTTGAAGGAATCAAATTCGAATCTACTCCTTTGACACTCATTACCTTTGTCAACTGCACAACGCCTTGCACTGGCGTAATAATAATAATGATAATATAAATTCAAATGGATAGATGAGAGAGAGGGGAGTTTCAGAGTTTGTAATGGCATGTGATGAATTTGAAGTGAGAGCTCAATCATTCATTCATTCATATCATGCTGCTGCTGGATGCAAGCATGCAAAGAATCTTTAAGTAGTTGGTGTGGACACCCATGCTGTGCCAACATTGTACTTTGAACCTTCTTCTCACAAAGATAAAAAGAAAAAGAAACCCACACATGCACTTCCCCTCCCTGTTTGGCTAATTCCATTTCTGCATCCTGCTGGACATATATATATTTATAAACATTATTTAATTTACTCTCTCTATATTTATGTGTTATGTGTGGTCCTCTTTGTACATATCTGAGTGTGTCATGGTCCTCCTCCCCCCCTTAGCTTCTTCTCTTTTATGACACTCTCACAGCTGTGCTGCAAAATTATTATCCCCCCCCCACACGCTTATATATATATGTGTGTGTGTGTGTGTGTGTGTGTGTGTGTGTGTGTGTGTGTGTGTGTGTGTGTGTGTATATACTTATTTATTTATTTATACACACACACAATCAATTATTATTCAAGATAAGCTAAGTAACTTTCTTGTTGTTACTACACCAGTACTATTTTTCTAACTGAACTTGTTTTTGTTCTTCAATTAGCAAGCTAGCTACTAGCTAGGCATCTATTTGGGGGTTGAATTAATTAGGATTTCATTGGATACCACCAATTCAGTTGGACGGATTTGCCCTTTTTAGTACTGGGCTTTTTATGGGGATGACTAAATATGAATATGTGGTTTTCATTGATCTAATTAATAGTACCATTCTTATATGGAGTTAAGGTGGTGATGGTTGATTGTTTTTAACAAAATGCAATGAGCAAGCTCCCTTGGTTGAGTAATGGATGAAAGACCAATTTAGGGGTTTCGGGGCTTCGATCTTCTCACCCAGATTCGATCCCCAAAGGAAGCACGACGAGGAAATTTTTAAGGAAGTTTTTAAAAAAGGTAGTTCGAGCTATAGAAATTGAAAAGTTAAAAATGGGTTTTACATTCACCTCCCTGTCCTGGACCCTGATAACCAGGAAAATTAGACCCAGATCCTTTGGCATGGACCACGGGTGCCTAGGAACCACACTTCTCACGCACTACTAGTGCGTGAGAGGGAGTACGTTCAACGGGCTCCCGAAGCCCTTGCGGGCCCCACACGTACGGGCGAGCATGATGGGGCAAAAACCGAGGGCGAACGTGCGTGTCCTCAGCTCCAAAAAAGGGGCAAGGAATGGGGTGCCATGATTTGCTGTACTCCATAGTGTAGACTGCAGTGTCTAGTGTCATGAGATTGGGAGCAACCCAAGAAGGGGAAAGAAAAAAATAAATTAAATGTTGTATAAATAAATAGTATATTAGAGTAGAGTGATTGAGTAGGGAGGGAAACACACACACATTGAAGGCATTGGTTTGATGGGTAGTTGGCAAAGGCAGAAATGGTCTCCTCTCCTTTCTCCTCCCCCATGCTTTGGCCACAAACATTCAAAGCACTAATCTTTTATTTATTTTTATTTATTAAAAAAAAAGGTGAAAGAAATTGTGGAAGAACAGCTTAAATGCAGACACAAAGACATATATACACTACACTCCACTGTTAAATGTTATTATTAAAAATATATGTATTTGGGTCTGGGAAATTAGAGGCAAGATCTAAAATGCATATGACTTTTTCCTACACTTTTTTTTGGCCTTTTTCCTCATTTCTCCTACTACCCATCCCTTTTTCTTGCATTTTTTTTATCTTGGTCTTGTCTCTTTTTTTTTCCTTCAATTTCCACCTTTTATTTTGAAAATTCACTTAACAATAAAGTTATTATCAGCTGGTGTTTGCGAGCTTTAATTATTGTTTTAAACAAGACACTTGAGTTTTTTGTTTTTTACGGAGTATTTTTTGTTCATATTATAGCACTATAGGTAGCCAAGCCTTTTCAAAGATTTCTGTTAATTACTAGTAGTTTATCCTTATTTCATTGGATAGTACTTGTTGTTGGGTATAAAGAAGATCATAACGATTGAAAGTCGTGTATAACACTTTCAGATTAAATATTTTGGGAGTTCAATCCAAAATTCAATTGGATAAAAGCCAAAGTTCTAGTATGAATATGTTATGAAATTTCGAACTGGGTTGTTAGTGACCAAGGATTAGCAAATTTTATAAAGCCGCGGAAGGGATGAAGTATTCGGTCGTGTCTCTCGTCCAAAATGTGCGTCCTTTCGTGCGATTTGAGAAAAAATGGTGCTTATCCTTTTCCAAAAGGGGCTTATCCTTTCGCGCTTATCCTTTCCGAAAAAACGGTGCTTATCCTTTCGCACGATTTGGACACCGCAGGGGCTGTCGCCCCTTGAACCCTCTTCGGGGGGCGCTACCCTCGAACCCCCGTCAAGGGGGCAGCGCTCTGGGTACCCCCATTAAAACGAGATTTTTAATTCTAACAAACATAATGAAGCGTGCACTCTGCACCATCAAACTTCTTTGATGATCATTAGGATACATATCATTCGTTACATAGTTTTCCCAATTACACTAAAATATACTACCTCCGTTCAAGAGTATTTGCCCACTTTCATTTTTACACACCATCCAATACATTTCTTTAATGCATTTTATCTTGTAATTTGTATATTAAAAAAGTATAGAAATTATATAATAATAATCTATATGTTAAGACAAATCAAACAAGATCACACATGACTATATTTAGGCTTACACATTGAGAGAATTTGATTAGTCAAAGTGTTTAGATGAACAGTTCCAAAAGTCAAAACTAGACGAATACTCTGGGACGGAGGGAGTATAACACTTATTTTCGTTTTTTATTCATTTCAGAAAATCAAGAACAATGTAATCTCAATCCTGTAGAGGTTTAGGGTCAAGATATATGCAACTTTATTCACGTAAAAATAGAGAGACTCTTTCATTGGTCCCTAGTTACATTGTGACTCCTCAAAACTTCACAAAATGTTAAAAGAAATGGACAATTTTAACATTTTTTTAAAATTTTGGTTTTTGGTAATTACAAATGATTTATCTATCATTTAAGTCATTTTTACTTTTACGAAAGAATATTTGAATATAGCTTATAAGTAAAAAATTATTTATTAGCAATAAGTCTATAAACACCAGCACAAAAAAACAACCACATTATAAAACATTATTACGGAGAGAAAAAGTAAATCTATATCTTGAAATCATCAATATATATACTCCGTATTACTCCGTATCATTTATCACCGTAGAATTATACCACAGAGCAACAAAATTTGTGTAATTTTTTTCTCTAGAATTAGTATTGTTCTTCAATCTTCATCATATTTAGAATTTCTTCATCTTGAAACCTGAGTGTGTGTTATCACAAGAAGAATTTGACAGAAATTAAAGTTTGACTCGGATTATCTGTCTTTGATTGCTGGCATTATTAAGCTTTTTTTTGTTTGTTTTTTAAACTTTTTGATAGTTTGGAATGTAATGTGGGAGTGGCCCATGACAAAACAAAATATACTTTTCTGACTTCTCTAAACATATAATTAAATAATTAATTAAATAAACCACAAATGATAAATATTCCAAACTAATAGTAATCCATTAGAAAAAATCGAATTCTGGGAATACAAGAATTGACTTTTTTTCCCCTGGCTGTTTCTTGCTGCATGTTAATTAACATAATAAAAGAAAATTAAATAAGAAAAGCAAGTGGAAATCTATTTTCTTTTCCCTTTTTTTCTTTTCCTTTCAATTCCAAAACTTCATTTCCTTCTACACTGTTCATTTTTCGTCCCATCA